AACCTATCAAGAAAAGAGAAGTTAATCATCATATCATAATGCGGATTATGATATGATCACCGACTTCACTATCATTGGCAACAGACGCATGCTTTTGCTCTCCTCAGTCATGTTATACGCATCAAGGGCAAGTGAATGGCCAGATATTAATACCCCATCCGCTGGAACCTACACAAGATTTTCTATACAGCAAAATCTACATATGTTACGGATAACTATTGTAGGAAATTACTCATCCAAAGGTTTGATTTTACAAGAAATTGTTGACACAAAGAAGAAGATAACCACAATGGAGAACAAAGGGAACAATGACGGCGGTGAAGAAGCCAAGAAGAAAATCACGTAAGGGAAAGATGATCATGTGCTTAGCATGTGAGAGTGTGATGGGCCAAAATGGTTGACTAGGCTAAATGGGTTTTGAGCCCAAGAAGAAAATAATACTTTAGGATAAGGAATTGGTAACAAATTGTACTGGTCAAGGACAATATAGCAAGGGCTAAGAAGAAGAAATTCCCTATATATGTATTCAGCTTTAGTATTGAAAATAAAGAAGAGAAGTTTTTACTTTTATGTTTATTATGATCTTGCTCTAAAATCTCCATCTTCTACATTTCTAAACAAACAAAAGAAACAATAAGGATTAACATGCATTGTAGTTGTTTTTCTTGTTTTTATTTACTAAGAAAATAAACGGAGAGAACGTGAGTTGTGCAAAGATTTCATAGAAATCTAAGAACTATAACATACCAAGAAAAAATGAACAAAAGGAATAGCATCCATCAGTTACCATATTACCAGTGTTGAGGGACCTGGAATCACCCACCACAATGTTGCAACTCGTCCACCACCTCTTATCACCTGTACATTACGCACCTCTATAAAGTGCAAGTGAAAGAAAAAACATAATGCAGATTGCAGATATGGGTAAAAAAAACGGCAAGTATGGACCTCCAGATGTACATCTCTTTTCATCGTTCAGGTTTTGAAACTGCAGAGAGCGCTTGATGTCACTGACTGCTGCAAACATGAAATAGAAAGAAGATAAGTGTTCCTAACTGCAACCCACAGTCATAATACTTGTCATGATGACAGCAAGAATAATTAAAACAAGAATGATTGCAGATGCAATATACAATTTACAGCCTTAGTAAACACTTCACATCTCATTCAACTTAGTAATCGTTTTTTTTTCATCTGTTTTACATAATCAACCATTTTGTTCATGCAAGCAAACAAAATAATTCAGAGGACAATAACGAGGAGGAAAGACAGAAAAACACGAAGCCTACCAAGCATTACCTTTGTCATCTGCAACTTTACAACAAGACATTAAGAATTGGTCCTTACTAGCGTCTTTTTGAACCTATCAAGAAAAGAGAAGTTAATCATCAAATCACAAAGCAGATTATGAGATGAACACCAACATCACTATCATTGGCAACAAATGCAAGCTTTTGATCTCCCCAGTCATGCTAGACCCATCAAGGGCAAGCGAGTGGCCAGATATTAATACCCCATCTTCTGGAACCTACACAAGATTTTCTATACAGCAAAGTCTATATATGTTACAGATAAATATGACATATCAAGAAACAATAAACAAAAGGAATAGCATCTCTCAGTGACCAGATTCTATTATTGGGGGCCCGAAATGACCCACCACAATGTCATATATTGAATTTTCAACTCGGCTACCGCCTCTTATCCCCTCTGCATTACTTACCTGTATAAAGTGTACACAAAAGGAAACAACATAATGCAGTTTACAGAAATGGTAAAAAAACAGCAAGTACGGACCTCCAGATGTGTCTTTTTCCCTCGTTTGGGTTTTGAAACTGCAGAGAGCATTTGAAGTCACTTATTGCTGCAAACATGAAATAGAAAGAAGATAATGTTCATAACCGCTATCCACAATCATAATACTTGTCACGATGACAGCAAAAACAACTACAACAAGAATGACTGCAAATGCAAATACAATGCGACCTGCACCATACCGTCCTTCTTTGATTCCCTATAGACAATGGTAATACAAAACATTAGAAAACAGCAAGAGGTAAACACCGTAGGTTGAAATAAGCATTGACACGATACGACAAACAACGTAAAGACGATTAGAATTTTTTATATTGTTGTCAGAGGCAGCACAGCTCTGTTTTAATCCTGAGCACTAAAAATGCTACTGCTGCGACCATCACAATTATCAAAGTGAGATCTTGGCAAGCGTCCTACAGAACACTTTGTCACTTTAAATGAGAACTCGATTGTTTAGTCAGGAAACATAGCAAGAAAAACGCAACTCAAAAGGCCACCAAAATTAGTAAGAACTTCCTATACCAGAAAATCTTTCCCTTTCTTACGAGGATAGGTATTCTTACGATTTAAAATATCATCCTCATCACCATGGATACCTTTCTCTACGTTTGTCTTTGGAAAATTCGACAATCCTCGAACCTAATACAAATGCAAACCAAAAACAATCACGCATAAGCAACCAGATACATGCAAACTAACAAAATCACGTATAAGCAACCAGATACGACCAAGTGGACATGAACAACAAAGAGAATCAACCCATAGGATAGATTCGAGATTGAAAACTCCCCCCTGTATTGCTGCGAGGCTTCTACGTTGTGATCCTTTGACATCAGAACAAGTTGTTCTGGTCCAATTCAAAACTCACCATTAGGGGTTTGTGAACAAGTGGGAAGCTTTGCACTAAACAAACTCGTAATCAGAAACACGGAATCTAGATACCTATAATGGAGACAGGCACTTCAGCACAATAAGAACACCTTCCGCTCACCAAGTTACAAGAATCACACCTCAAGTTACTTCTGATTAGCTGATTTTGCTTCGATATTCTCATCAGCAGTTCATACTTCATAGTCTTGTACTAAAAAAACATAAAAGTTCGATCAATGTCTTAAAGACTGCACGAGAGAATTTGGATTCTAGGAAATAACCTCCTGCCCAGTGGAGGACAGTGCATGTGTTGATTAGTGGGTGGTTCTGTGACAGAGACCAAGGCTCCAAGAGTGCCCACTATGAGATTCACCCAAAGCAACTGTTTAATTAAAAGAAAAAAAGAAAGCTCTTTAAACCGATGGATATCCTCTACATACAGACAGCGCATAAGAAAGTAGAAAAATCTGTACATGACAAGGATCTGAACCTGCACAACTTTGAGTGGGACATCACTACTTGAAACTACCGCTACAATGTTAATGATGAGAACAACAACATTAACAGTGAGCTGAAATTGGATAATTCTCCGAGTTTTTGCGGACTTTAGATTCAGCACTGTAACTTCACGACATTATAAAAGGAAAGCTGGCCATGAAACATTCTTCGAAATAATGTAATCTTTACTACTCTCCATATAAAACAGCCTACAGAAACGAAGTATTTGTTAGCTGTTTCACCTTTATACCGACACATATTATCACAACTCAGTTTAAAAGAAGATCACCGACTTCACTATCATTGGCAACACAGACATACATTTTTCCTAGAATCATCGAGAGCAAGCGAGTGGCCTGATATAATAATTAATCCGTTGGAATCTACACAATATTTTTCAAACAGCAAAATGTATATATGTTGTAGATAAACTATGACACACCAAGAAAAAATAGCAAAAGGAGTAGCATCTATCACTAATCTGATTACCAATGTAGCGAGAAAGACATCACCCACCACAATTTCATATATTGAAATTTCAATTCCTCAACCACCTCTTATCCCCTGTGCATTACTCTCCTCTATAAAGTGTAAGCAAAAGGAATTAACATAATGCATATAACAGGAATGGTAAAAAATGGAGAGTACGAACCTCCAGATGTTAATGGAAAATACGAAAATATCAGAAAAAAACACATGAATGCATATATAGTTCAGTTACCCTAAAACTAAATTATTGAATTCCTACTTTTTGTGCCATATAGTTCAAACTAAATGAAGTACCTTCACACCAGCACTCTGACTCCTGGTCTACAGAGATTGTTTAGATAAGAAACTATATTGAGAATCTTGCAGCAGACATGTGGGTGGTATGACAAACAATTTCCCACAGATACGAACTCATTTGCCAAAGACGTTAAGAACAAACAATTTTGAAAGAAAGTAACCCTCAATTCAGCAATAAAATTATTTTTTGGACTAACACATTCTATATAAAAACACAACCAAGAGAAATAAAGTATTTGTCATCTTTTTACCTTTACACCGAGCCACCGACTATAGCTAGCAAATACTTTATTTCAGTGGATACTGTCTATAGCTTGCCAACAAAGATCATCCTCTGGGATTACAGACTTTTAGAGTTCATCGCATATTGGGATTTAGTCAACCTCATAGATTTTTCATGCTAATGCTACGCATTGTTAATATCTTGCTGCCATGCCCTCAATAGCCTTTTAAAATAAGAAATCTGCAAATAGGCAACTAACTGGACAAAAAATTAGATCGATTCACGTTACTAAAAAGTGTATCGATTCATGTTACTAAAAAGTGCTGTGCTGCGAGCCTTATAAAACAAAGGGTGGCTGTCTAATTGAAAGGCTGATGGCAATAAAACCTTGAAGTATTAGGTTCAAACCTTGTCTTCAGTCACAGCTCACATTACCACTTTCATCCATGTAGTTTTTGCATGAAGCCAAAAACAATTACCATCAAGATGACCATCAGTTCGCTCCCCATGGCAATGAAACAATTCAATCCCAACAACAAGAGAAAATAGACAGGTCAGAAAACAAAGGCATATCCCAGTTCATAGTAGACTAGTAATTGTCACAATGTGCAACAAGGAAAACTTACCAAAGGAGCTTGGCGTGAGATCGGATTTTTGGAAACGCATACTCTCTTCAACGAGAAGTTTTCTCTCTCTCTCTCTTTCTCAGAAATTTTTCTCACAATCTGTCTTCTCCTGCTTCGGAAGCAACCTGAGAGCATAATCAACCACACCTTTCATCTTTCGGAAATGTTCTGATGTTTTTATAAACAATCAGAACCGTTGCCAAGGAAAACATCGAACCAAGGAAATTTTAATGGAAAATGGAAGACCAAATGATTGATCTCTCCTACACAGAAATTTTGATCCTAGACTCATCAAAGGCAAGCGAGTGGCCTGATATTAATAACCCATCCGCTGGAACCTACACAAGATTCTCTATACAGCAAAATCTGTATATACTACAGAAAACAATAACATACAAAGAAAAAAAGAACAAAAGGAATAGCATCCATCAGTTACCATATTACCAACATTGAGGAGCCCGGCATCATCCACCACAATGTTGCAACTCGCCACGTCTTATCCCCTGTACAACAGAAAGAAACAGTAATGGAAGACACGAAAAAAAATCAGAAAAATCAAGTGAATGTTTATAACCGAATTGAGAAACCCTAAAACCAAATTGTTAAATTCTTACATTGCATGGCATATAGTTCAAAGGAAAAGAAATACCTTCACGCCATCCATCTGACTCAACTAAACTAAATATCTCTCATTCGTGGTCCATAGGGATCCTGTGCAAATAATGTTTTATAAAAAAACTCCATTGAGAATCTTGCAGCAGACATATGGGTGGTCTGATAAAAACAATGCCCACAGATATGAACTCGTGTGCCAATGAAATTAAGGACAAACACTTTTGAAAGAAGAAAACGCATAATTAAAAAAATTTACACATTCTATTAAACAAAGCTATAATGTAATCTTCACTGCTCTCCATATAAAGCAACCTACAGGAATAAAGTATTTGTTAGCGTCTTTTACCTTTATATCGACACAGATTATCACAACGCAGATTATGAGAAGATCGCCGACTTCACTATCACTGGCAACACAGATGCACGATTTTGCTAGAATCATCGAGGGCAAGCGAGATGGCAGATATTAACACTTTCCCTTGGAATCTACATAAAATTTTCCATACACCAAAATCTATATATGTTACAGATAAACTATGACATACCAAGAAACAATAGCAAAAGTTGTAGAAACATCAATCACTATCTAATTACCAATGTTGGGAGAACGTCATCACCCACCACAATTTCATACATTGAAATTTCAACTCGTCTACCACCTCTTATCCCCTTTGCATTACTCACCTCTACAAAGTGTAAACAAAAGGAAGTAACATAATGCATACTACAGAAATGGTAAAAAAAAAATGGCGAGTACGAACCTCCTGATATATGTTTCTCTCTTCCTCGTTCTGGTTTTGAAATTGCAGACTTTTTGTTGTCACTTTCTGCTGCAAACGTGAAATATAAAGAAGATATTGTTCATAACTGCTACATACAATCACAATACCTGTCCCGATAACAAAAGAATAACTGCAAAAGCTATGTTGCCTCCATCATCCCATCCTTCTTTCATTCTCTATGACACAAAACATTATAAAACAGCACACACGTCGGTGTAATTAGGCACAAGACAAATTGCAATTTTTTTATTGTTATTTTCAGAAGTAGCACGCCTCTGTTTTAATCTGAAGTAAAGATACCTTTGCTGCGACCATCACCACTATGATTGTGAGATCTTAGCCGATATCTTGTCGGACATCTTTTCACTTTCAGAATCCGACAAGGAATGAAAAGTTATTCCTTAAATGATAATAGGTTCAGTGGCTTATGTACCATAGGTTAATATTCCGCACTCCAGCACAATAGTTTTGGTAGGTTGGAGGTTGTCACTAGTTACCATTCGAACCTGAAAGTCCACAATTTAGTGCTGTAAGATTGCCCACCCAGCATACAGCCAAATCAAACAGGTTAATGGAAAATAAGAAAATATCATAAAACACACTTGAATGTGTATAACCAAATTCAGATACCCTAAAATTAAATTGTTGAATTCTTACTCTGTGTGCCATATAGTTCAAAGTAAATGAAGTACCTTCATACCAGCACTCCGCCTCCTGGTCTACAAAGAGTTTAGATAAGAAGTACCATCGAGAATCTTGCAGCAGACATGTGGGAGGTCTGATAAAAAAACAAATCAACATATCCTTTAGTACTCTCCACATAAAAACACAACCTAAAGAAACAAAGTATTTGTTAGCTATTTAGCTTTATACCGACTATATAGCTAGCAAAAACTTTACTTCAGTACGTAGTATTATACCGACTATATCTTGCCAACAAAGAGCAAGATACAGACCAACAATTCCATTAAAAATCAGCCACTCCGTTTAGGCAAACCTGATTGAGACATGTCGTAAGTTTAACAATATATGTAAATGCTAATACACCGAATAGTAAGCTCATTTAAAACATTTTCTACATGCACAGGAGTTTCTTCGCCGTTTTCTTTTGAAATACAAGCCATCAACAATCCCCACTCGGTGCCGATACCAACAACAGTGACCTTTGAGGACAGAAAATAGGTTAGTTAGTTACCCATATTCATAAAATTTACAGTCCTCATAAACACTTCAAACATCATTTGACTCTAGTAGTCTTTTTGTTTTTCAGTTTTACATAAACCATTTTTTTTCATGCAAACCAGATAATTCAGAGGACAATAACGAGCAGGAAAGACAAAAAACACAACCTATCGGAATGACGCCTTTGTCACAAGAAAGACATAAAAACACATAACCTACCGGAATTATGCCTTTGTCATCTGCAACTTTACAACAAGACATTAAGAATGGGCCCTTGCTAGCATCATTTTCAACCTATCAAGAAAGAGAAGTTAAACATCATATCAAAACGCAGATTATGATATGATCGCCAACTTCAGTATCATTGGAAGAAACGCAATCTTTTGCTCAACCCAGTCATTCTATACTCATCAAGGGCAAGCGAGTGGCCTGATATTAATACCCACCCGCTGGAATCTACAGAAGATATCCCATACAACAAAATCTATATATGTTAGAGATAACTATGACACACCAAGAAACAGGAAACAACAAAACAAACAAAAGGAATACTGGAATATCATCCATCAGTGACCAGATTTCCATTGGTGGGGGCCCCCACATCACCCACTACAATGCCATATATTGAAATTTCAACTCGCCTACCACCTCTTATCCCCAGTGCATTACTTGCCTGTATAAAGTCAGTGTAAACAAAAGGAAACAACATAAGGCAGATTATAGAGATGTTAAAAAAAATGGGAAATGCAGACCTCCAGATGTATGCGTCTCTTTTCCACGTTTGCGTTTTAAAAACTGCAGTAAGCGTTTGAAGTCACTGATTTCTGCAAACATGAAACAGAAAGAAGATAGTGTTCATAACTGCTACCCACAACCATAATACTTGTCACGGTGACAACAAGAACGACTGCAAATGCAATACTGCCTCCACCATACCATCCTTCTTTGATTCCCTATGCACAGTGGTAATACAAACATTAGAAAACATCAACAAGTAAACACCGTAGGTTGAAATAAGCAATGATACGGCAAACAAGGTAAAGACGATTAGAAATTTGTTTTAATTGTCTTCAGAGGTATCACACCTCTGTTTTGATCCTGAGCACTAACGAAGCTTCTGCTGCGATCATCACAACTATCAAAGTGAGACCTTGGCAGGCTTTCCAGAGAAAACTGTCACTTTAAATGAGGAACGACTGTTTAGTCAAGAAACACAGCAAGGAAAACATAACTGAAAAAAAACTAACAGAATTGGTAAGAACTTCCTATACCAGAAAATCTTTCCCTTTCTTACGCATAGGTAAGGTATTCTTACGCTTTACAATGTCATCATCATTAACATGGATACCTTTCTCTATGTTTGTCTTCAGAAAATCCGATAATCCTCGAACCTAATACAAACGCAAACTAACAAAATCATTATACCTGTCGCGGTGACAGCATGAAAGCTACAACAAGAACGACTGCAAATGCAATGCTGCCTCCACCATACCATCCTTCTTTGATTCCCTATGCACAGTGGCAATACAAACATTAGAAAACATCAATAAGTAAACACCGTAGGTTGAAATAACCAATGACCCAGGAAACAAGGTAAAGACGATTAGAAATTTGTTTTAATTGTCTTCAGAAGTATCACGTTTTTATTCTGAGCACTAATGAAGCTTCTGCTGCGATAATCACAACTATCAAAGTGAGATCTTGGCAAGCTGCCCAGAGAAAACTCTGTCACTTTAAATGAGGACCGATTGTTTAGTCAAGAAACACAGCAAGAAAAACATAACTGAAAAGGCAAACAGAATTGGTAAGAACTTCCTATACCAGAAAAGCTTTCCCTTTCTTACGAGGATAGGTGTTTGACACATAGATAAGGTATTCTTACGCTTTACAATGTCATCATCATCACCATGGATACCTTTCTTCAGGAAATTCGATAATCCTTGAACCTAATACAAGAGCAAACTAAAATAATCACGCATATGGCAAAGCGGGCATGAACAATAAAGAGAGTCAACCCAGAGGATAGATTCAAGATTGAAAACTTGCCCATCTGTATTGCTTTGAGGCTTCTAAGCTGTGATCCTTTGACATAAGAACAAGTTGTAGTCACCATAAGGGGATGGCAGGAGTCGTTTGTTTTCCCCCTGAAGATATCAGTTCCGAATTTTCAATACCGAAACACCACACGGAAGAAACATATAGCTGTGCTTAAAAAGAATTAAAGCAAAATGTAAAAGAAAACATGAAGATTACCATCAGTTCGCTCCCCCATGGTTATGAAACCATTTGCAGCCCAACAACAAGAGAAAAGAGATAGGTCAGAAAAGAAACCAAAGCATATCTCAGTTCATAGTAAACAAGTAATTGTCTGAAAATGCAACAAGGAAAACATACCAAAAGACCTCTCGTTCATCTTTCATCTGTCGAAAATGTCTGAACAATCAGACACCGTTGTGAAGGAAAACATCGAACCAAAGAAAGTTTAGTGGAGAATGGAAGAACAAAAGATTGATTCCAGAACTCCAAAACTTTTTCAAAGAAGGAGAAATCTCCGGCGAACTTACCGTCGCCATTCTTCTTTTTCCGGTCGCGAGAAAACAATTTTGAATGAGAGAAGAAAGCAACACAATAGTAGTGCCCTTATGGGCTTATGCCCAAGTCCAACAACCCATAAACCTGCACACATTACATTTCTGTACGTATGCGATGTATGTATGTAACTATGTCTGTAGAGGAGATCATACTCGGTTAAGCTAGTAAGTAGTGAAGTGATCATAACGGATACTTTTTGCAACGTGTCACAATATTATTGGTGCTAATTGCCCTGTAAACGCTTCTCGTCCACGCCTCCAAGTGACGTCGTTTCGGTTAGCCAGCGGTTGCCACGCGTTTCAATTTTTTTACCACGAGGCATTATCACAGGCTAATCAAAGTGAATTATGTTTGCTTTTTTTCAGAAGTCATGTTAATTAAGTAACGGTGTTAAATGTCGTGTGGGAATATGCCACAAATGTCCAAAGTTGTGTATTTTTTAGTTAATTAAAAAAATGTATGTAGTTAGTTGACATTTTTAGATAAATTCACGTATTTACTTGCCATTTTTTTAAATATAAAAACAAGGATCATTTACCATTAAAATATTAAATATTTTAAAATCAATTGATATGTCAAATTTGTGTATTCAATTTCATTTCTCCATTACTTTTTAGATTAAAAATATCAACTACATCATTTTCTTTAAACAATGAGGATGATATATGATGATTTTTTTCATATTAAAAAACACTTACATAAATATAAAAACAAATATTTACTATGGTTTTTAAAAATAAAAAGTACATATGAGCTGTAGAAAAATAATAATATATTTTAAATATTTGTCAAATCAAAGGGCTCTAATCTAAAATTATTTTGATGTAATTTGTGATTTATATAAAAAAAATATTTAGAATATAATCGTTAATTATATTGATTAAACTTTTTAATTGTAACAGTAAATTAAATTAAATTAAAGCAAATGCGAAAAAAATGATTAATTTAATTTTCATTACATGATACTTCTAACCCTGATATTAATATAAATAATATTATGGATAATACAATAACGATAAATATTATTTTTAGATTATACAATCTAATTTTAAATTATACCAAATCGCAAGATGATTTTAGTTTTTACTCGATAATTCTAAACTACAATTAATGGTTTCCTTTTATATCATACATATATCATCGCTAGAAGGAGATGAAAACTTCAACGCAATATCTTCAACTTTTACGACAATTATAATCGTAAAGTGCGTTTGAAATCGTTGTTTCAATCACAGAACCACGGTTTGGGTAAGATGATCACGTTTACTATTCCAATCACACAAGTATCGTGAAGAACCACATTAACAAATGTGATCACGTTTGATGTTCCAATCACACAAGTATCGAATCGCGGCTAACAAATGCGATCAGATCATAGTCTGGCTCAGGTTCCAATCAAGCCATCATGGCTCGAGTCACCGATACTACCCCCCCCCAGCCAGTAGAACCGTCAGTTGCAGTCTCTCCATCACCAGCTCATCACCGGTGACTACGACCACAGCAGCCACCTCCTCATGGCATGGAACCTTGAACAGATGGGTCATGTACTTTGTTATTTTCTCCATCACCTATATCATTTTCGTCGCACTTCTCTGCAACATCTTCTTTACGATATCTACTATAGCTGATCTAGATTCTTCAACTCTCCCATCTGAGCTCTCGAGATGTGTTAATCCTCACACATTCTCCTCTGTTTCTGATCAACACCCAAAATTAACAGATTTCTGGGTTGTATTTATAAACAGGAAATTCTTGAGAAGAAGAAGAATTTAATCAATGCTTATCATATATTTTATTCAACAAACGTACTTAAATAGATTCTACAAATTACATAACTGCTTTTACAAACTGACACATAGCTAACTACAACTATATAATCTGATCCACACTTGTCTCCCTATCAAACCTTCAAACACGTGTTTCAATGCCTCAAGCCAACTCAGCGCTTGCTTCCCAACATACTCCTCCTTGGATTAAGGCTTGGAACACATCCCAATCTTCTCTCTTAATATCTCGAACATGCTGGCATGAAATGGCTTAGTAAACAGATCGGCTTTCTGATTTTCCGACTTGCAGTAAACCAAAACGATCTCTTCTTCTTGTTGAACTTCTCTAAGGAAGTAATACTTGATCTTGAAGTGCTTTGTCTTCCCGTGAAACACTGGATTCTGTGAGATTGCTATAGCCGCCTGATTGTCGATCTGAATCCTTGTTGGTCCTCTGAATTCAACTCCCAAATCTGTCAGAATCTTCCTGAGCCAAATTGCTTGATTAGCAGCTTCTGTTGCAGCAACAAATTCTGCTTCTGCAGTGGATTGTGCCACTATACTTTGCTTCCTCGAACTCCAAGAAAAACATCCCGAACCCAGCGTAAAAACAATAACCAGAGGTGCTTTTCATGTCTTCCCATGATCCTGCCCAATCGCCATCGACAAAGCCTTCCAAATCGAACTCTTGAACTGAGCAGAACTTGATCCCATATGATTTAGTTCCATTCAGGTATCTGAGAACTCTCTTTGCGAACACCAAATGCTCCTTCTTTGCACAATGTAGAAACTTTTGTTGGGGACGGCGGTTGTTGACGACAGCAAAACTCCGGCAATTCGAGCGATTCCAGATAAGTACCTGAAATTAAAAGAATATTTTGTCGAGGCATGTGAAACACAGTTTCCTTAAGTTCGATTTTCGTGCCACCTCTAAAGCTTCGAGGCTATTGGAGCACGGTGAACTCCCAGAATACAACGACCGCATATTTGGAAGAAGCTTTCCAAATATCAAGCGAACTCAGAGAGAGATATGAGCAAATATGTGAATGCTCTTTTTTCTCTAGAATGCTTGTTTCTTTTCTGTGTGATTAATGAGCTAACCCAAGACCCCTATTTATAGTAGAGAGGAGAATCTCAAAATAAATCAATTTGAATTTTAAAATTCAAATTTGATTTTATCTTGATATTATCTCAATCTTATCTCAATCATATTTGATAGATTTTCTGCGGATTTGAATCCAATTTGAATTTCAAATTCAAACAAGAATATTCTCTCAATATTCTGCAGATTTAAAACTTTCCACGGACCGGGTTTCTCACGGACTAGGCCCATTTTGATTCTATCAAATAAACCCAAATCCAACAATCCCCCACAAGAATCAAAATATGGCCTTGAGTTAGGTGAACTTAAATGCATCTCATGCAATAAATGACTCTGGAATATTCTAATTGTTGAGCTCCCTCACCGTGATATTTTTTCAAATGAGAATTAACATCAATTGGAGTTCTGGCCTCAGAATTTCTACCTTTGTCAAATCTCTCTAAGATTTGTTTTATATAGTGACCTTGGGATAACACATAACCATCTTGTATCTTGATAATTCTCTCATACCAAAAATTACATCTGCTATTCCCAAGTCTTTCATGTTAAAGTAATTCGATAACATGGTTTTCGTAGCTTTAATCACCTTATCACTGCTACCAGTGATGATCATATCATCTACGTAAAGACAGATAATCACAAATTTTGTCTCGTTACCTTTGACATATATGCACTTGTCAACCTCGTTGACTCGAAATCCATTTGACAACATTACGTTATCAAACTTCGAATGCCATTGTTTCGGAGCTTGTTTAAGTCCATACAAGGATTTCACAAATTTACACACTTTTTCCTCTTGTCCGTGCACTCTACACCCTTCAGGTTGAAGCATGTATACTTCTTCTTCCAGTTCACCATTCAGAAACGCAGTCTTTACATCAATCTGATGTAATTCTAGATTATGTAAGGCTACCAAGGCTATAATAAGCCTTATGGATGTTTTCCGAGCGACTGGAGAGTAAACATCGAAGTAATCGACACCCTCAGTTTGCCTATAGTCTTTGACTACAAGTCTCGTCTTCTATTTTCAATAGAACCATCCGGTTTCATCTTTCTTTTGAAGATCCATTTATAACCCAATGGTTTACATCCTTGTGGAAGATCCACAAGTTCCCAAGTGTGATTTTGTCGGATTGATTTAATCTCACTCTTCACTGCTTCCTTCCAATAAGGAGCTTCAAGATATGACATAGCCTCTTAATATGTCTGTGGTTCTTTATCCAACATAAACGTTAGATAATCAGAACCAAAAGAAGTCAGTTTCTTTGCCCTTTTACTTCTTCTAGGCTCTTCATCTTCTTCCTCTAATTGCTTAGAAGATTCATGAATTCTTTGAGATTCCATACCACTTGGATCTAATTCTATCCGAGTCTTATAGGGAAATACATCTTCAAAAAACGAAGCGTCTCTTGATTCAACGACTGTATTCGCATGTATTTCAGAATTATCTGATTTATACACCAAGAATCGGTAAGCACTCGAATTGTGTGCATAACAAATAA